CATAGTGGCTTTTTTAATCCCGGATTCTGGAACTTCGAAAACATTCCCTTTCATGCATTCTCATATATGTGTTAATCATTTTTTTGCAAAATGTGAGGAAAAAAAGTAAAACTTATATCCTTTTTTACAAAAATTAAACCACCTTATCGAAAATTAATCAAATTTACATTAAATCAAAATGAACTTATGATTGTGTTGCAACATTATCCTTATCCATTACTGGCAATAAATCACACTCTTTGGTGATAATGTATACATGTTAACAGTACAGTACAAAGTCCGAGATCCGGACTCGTTGGGTCGGATTTGAGATTTTTTTAAGTTTTTAAGTATCTAGTAAGACAGCATGCAGAAATTATAAAAAGAAAAAAAAAAAAAAAAAAAAAAAAAAAAAAAAAATGAAACCGTGATTTATGAAATAATACCATTTATGATATAAAGGGCTTAAAATGACTGTAACTGATTTTGAACATTTACAAAAAAAAAAGCTTACTACAGTCAAAAATCGTTAATCCAGACTCATCGGGACTTCGGCGATTCCGAAATATCGATTTTTCCTGATTATAGATCATCAGTTTAAATCTCGTAAGATGGCATGCAGAAATTCTAAAATTTAAAAATATGAAACTGTAATTTATGAAATAAAGAACAATTATGATCTAAAGGGTATCAAAATTTACAAAAAAAAAAAACTTAATATTTATTTGTTTACTTTATTAAACATTTTTTTCAATGTAAGTTGTTTAAGTTGCTTAGTTTTGTGTGATAATACTTTCTCTTTAATTCTATAAACAGACATAATTTCTTGTTCAGTTACAAAGTTCCGCTGTTCAAGTCCCGTAATTGCTGTCCCGAGAATACTGACTAACTTTTCAATCGAAATTTTTTCGTTTTCACTAACCTCTCTGTCACCTTCTTCATGTCTTTAGCCATTTTTTGCAGCAATTCCACTTTTTGTTTGATGGACATTGAAACATAATTTCGTTTTGTAGATCCTTTGGGAGCTCCAGCATCGGAAATTCTATTTGACATAATCGAAAGTTCAAGATTACTTTTATAAAATTGCTCTTACAGTCTGCAGAAAATAATAAGCCAGATCCACTTCGAAGATTAAGGAACAATGCAATCATCAACATTAACTGAAATAGATAATTAGATAATTTTAGCTTATACCATCCGTTATACATTAAACGCGCACGCGAAAAACGTATTCTGCGCTTTCGCACACGCATATGCGCAGTCGTAAAGGTCTTACGCGCACACGTAAACGCCTATGCGCATGTTGTCAATGCGGCGCATGCGAAGAAAGTTTTTAGCTTTGAGGTCCGGATTATAGATCATTCCGGATTATGGGTGTCTGAATTAACGACTTTTGACTGTATTTATTTCTTTATTTTGTTAAACATTTCTTTCAATGTAAGTTGTTTCACTTTTTGTGCTAACACTTTCTAATTCTGTACACATACATAATTTCTTGTTTAGTTACATTGTGTCGAGAATCCCGACTAACTTGCAATAGAAATTTTTTCATTTCGGTAACCTCTCCGTCACTTTCTTCTTTATCGGTAGCGGTATTTTCTGGATCTAGAACCATACTACAGATTTCTACCATCTATTAATTGACTGCTGATTGAGGAGCATTGTCATCACAATGAAAAACTTCTTCTATATCATCTTCATTTATTACCGCTTTGCCACATTTCTTTAACAGAATCCGTTAATTGGAAAATTTCACCTTTGGTTTGCGATATCCGAAAACCTTTAAAATGTGCGGCTTTCATCACAAAATTTAGCTCTCATTAACTATACATATTTGGCTATGTATCATGAGATTGGTGGCTAAAGACAAGTAGTTTCGCGAAATTTTATCTTGCTTTTATCGCACAGAGACAATTAAGCCTGAATTGTATTAGTTTAGTTATTTATTATACTTATGTCTATTTCTTGCAAATGCTTATCCGAGTCCTGAATAAATAAAGGCTTATCAGACTTATCTCAGTCCTGAATAAATAAATTCCCACATATACTTAAGGCTTATTGAGGGCTGACACTAGATACTTTACTGCCTGATGCAGTCTCTATGGGTCCTAAATTCTGCTACCAAGCACCTCCCTTTGTCTTCCCTACATTCTGCCGCCCGGTGGGACCATACGAGCCCTGGCGCTGGTTATGAGTTCCTGTGAATAACAAATAGATTATTCTTAATTCAAATAGCACTAAATTTAATCTTTTAGCCTATGAGTATCATTAACAAAATTTATTTTTAGCATATGGAGAGAGATTTTTGTTAAATTTTTCCTCGTCAACATTTCTTAGCACATTGAACTTAAATCTGTAATCATTGCCAAGCTTCATGTCAACATAAAAGGTTACCATACTATTTATTACTCAATTACAGTCAAATACCAAAAATCCGCCGGTCTGTAATCCGCCAACTCCTGAAATCCACATTGCCTTCTCAAAATATAAGCATTCAGTTTATAGGTTCTGAAAACCGACACATTGAGTACAAAATATCGAAGAAAAAATACTTACCGAATAATGACGTCATAATTACCGAATAATAATGACTCATAACGGAAATACCAAATTACTGACATCATGATAAAAGTTTTTTCCCCTCATCTGCATCGAGGTAAGAAAGCAGACGATTCACTCAACTCTTCCTTCAAGTTCATGATTCACGTTGTTGTATTTTCTGAGCTTTGTTATTTCACAGGATTATTTAGTGCTGCCTTTTTTTAATCCGGATATTTTGTGGATAAATTATGAATATTTAAAATTTAAGCCTTTTTTAATACAGTTACAGATAAGAAAGGCACTCATGGTTTTACTGCTTGCAATGTTGAAAAATGTAAACATGTTGCATTGATGGTAATGCAAAAAGTGAAAATTCTGCACAAGATGGACACAGGTGCAGCAGAATCATATGGAATTGCGATACGATTGTGTATGATATACGGAAAAATAAAGAAAAGCTGTTGAAATTTTACAGCAACAGTGATTCTAACACCGGAAATCTTCGCATGAGGCAAAATCAGCAAATGTCGACGCTGTGTATATATAATACAATGAATAATATAATCAATTTATATATGTAATAACACTTTAACACATATAATAAGTTATTGCAATAATGTATATAATAGTTTAATTAAATGTATCTAATACGCCATATTTATTTTGCACTTTTAGTCTGAATATTATGAATTCTCGTTTCTGTCCTGAAATCCGCACAACCTCTGGTCCCAAGCTTTGCAGATTTCTGGACTTCTACTGTATTAACATTAAAAAAAAAAAAAAAAAAAGTTGTTTAGGCATTGCTACATGAGCCATTACCCAAGGTGCCATGTGTTGATAAACATGCGGTGATAAAAGCAAAATATAATGAATAATGATTCAGTAGATTGGCGCCAGCAATATAAAATCTTTGGTTTTATACCTAATAAGGTATAACATGTATCTATGTAGAATATTTTGGTTTGAGATATATGCCAAGCAGATACGCATCTACAGAACCAAATTATTGATCATACAAATTTATGCTAAAATGATTGTTTCTTCAATAACGAGGTAGTGCCGAAGAGAAATTAAGAATCATACTCTCCAGATGTTTTATTATATGCAATAGGGGAGGAATCAAATGCACAGGCATAAAGCATACAATTATTTTTTTTTTAAAGTTGGTGGCTTTGGGGTCCGGATTTTAGATTATTCCAGATATCGGAATTTGCACTGTATTATGAGCTATATAATGGCACTACAAATCTCTCATTTATTAAATTTTTTGGGACAAAAATTCTTGAGAAATTCTAAAATATTCTGATTACTTGAATCCCAGACAATCAAGATTTTACTGTAGTAAATTTTTTGTCAAAGTCTTTTTCATATACAGTAAGCTGTTTCATACATGTATCTATTTTGTCAGTTGAAGAAGGAAGGTAGTTTTTAACTGCTTATTAATTTTTTTTACTAACAGCTGCCAATGTTTTAAATTTGGAAATTAAATATATATATATATGTGTGTAAGATAAAAAATATAAAAGCAAACTTCTAAATTTAGTTCACTATAACCTCTTTTATTTTCTATTTCATTTGGGAACTTCAGCTATCTGTCCTAAAAATAGCGCTTAAGTCTAAACTGCGTCCTTTAAATTAATCATGCGATTTTACGTAACCCTTAATGCAGATGCCTCTTGACCAATCACCAAATTGTAAACCATAACTAAAAACTGACTCCCTCCCTTCTTTCTATGAAATGATGGTCACTTTCATTTAAGCATTCCTCCTGGCCAGATGCTTTGTGGCTACCTTCCTTGTTCAAGGAATATATGCTAATCTAACAAAAATGTAGAGCGCATAAGACACTCATCCATATGTGAACCAAATATTGTGGAATCCTGACTTGCCTTACTCAAATAATAAAGTTATCTTGAATCCGGACATGTTTGCCTTGCCAAGTTTTTTTGCTACTCATCTATTAAGTTATCGCCAAGCTCCAAATCATTCATATTTTATACAGATGTGTACCTGCTGACTAGAACTCGAATGAGAAAAGTATCTCCAAGTTCATCATTCTTAAGATATCATCGAGTATCCAAATATGGTACTTACCTCATTTTGCAAATTCTTCAGAAAAAGTGTGTGGAACTAACTCCCAATGCAGTGCTTCCAAAATTTGTGCTTTCATTACATGTATGTATATATATAATAGTTATGTAATGCAAAATAGGATTAATATGTAATATTTGTGTTACTTCCACAAAATTTTTAATAATGAGCAAAAAATTCAATTTTTGTAAATAAAGCTTGATTATGATTTGCACATATTATTAAAGTCTTTATATTACAGTATCACAAAATTTTATTAAAACAAAACTATCCCTATATATATATATATATATATAGGGATATATATATATAGATATATGATATATATATATATCATACATTCTATATATATATATATATAATCCTTAAGTTGACAATTAAAAAAAAAAATCTACTTTTCGTATAGCCTTGAAGCAAGAAACAATAATATTAGGAAAAAAATATCTTATTATCTAGTCTTGAAATATAGACACTACTCTAAATAAAAAAAAAAAAAAAAATCTCGATTCCCATGTAAAAAGTTATTAACTTATCATTTATGTTTTCTATAATGAGCATAAAGGTTTGAACTTGTAATAAATCTTTTGCCACAGAGATTACAACTATATGGACGTTCTCCTGTATGGATTCTCATATGAGTCTTCAAAGTTCCTCTTTGTGTGAAACATTTTTTACATGTTGGGCATACAAATGGACGCTCTCCCGTATGAAGCTTGTAATGTTCTTTTAAAGTACTTTTTTGACTAAAGGATCTACCACATATATCACAGACATAAATTTTTTTAACAGAAGGAAATTGTAGATTTTGAGTCTGTTGAAGATCACTAATTCCACAAGAAGTTTTATCAACATTTGAAGATAAAGATATCACTCCATATGTTTTTATATCTATGAGGGAAAAATGCATTCCATAAGTATCAAAAATATTTTTTATACAGAAAAACTTTCAAAATATATACATAACAAAATAATTTCTGAAAAGTTGAATATTAGAATATTACAATAATGAACATCATATAATTAAATGTAAGTATTAATTAAATGTCTTAATTAAAATAATGCAAAAAAAGGAAACTCTTATAAAAAGGCAGTAATTTTAGGTTCAGATTCCTGCAAGTCATTACATTATTTTGTCATTACATTATCATAGCTGCCAACCTCGAAATTTGAAAAACTTGCAAAAGATTATTGCACCAAAAATTAGGAGTTTATGTGCTGCACGGCAGCACCATCTCAACAGAAGTCCAAATTGATCCTAAAATGTATAATATGATATTGATGTAAAACATATTAATATTTAATTACATATTCTAAATTTTACGTTCTTTGGTTAATTTCATTTTCTAATTTTTTTTATACTTTTACACTAAGATAATCCAGAGTAAGGAAGGAAAGTTTTAATTCATCAAAGTATTTTTAAACATAACGATAATAAAATTAATAACTAATGTACATACTATTGTATGGACAAATGTAGTAATATTCCATATACTGATGTGAAACAAAATTAAATAAAAATACCATTAACTGATTATGCCCTGATTGAACTTTTGTATGAAATCCTACAAATGTCCACAGTAGATTAAAAAAATTCAAATCACATAAAATTTATTAAGAAAAATTATGCTGAAAATCTTTAAAGTTGATGGAATGAAATTTTCACAGTTTATACTTCATTAATTCAATGAATTTAATTTATTATTGAGAAACACTTTCTTTGGTAAAGAATAAAAATTAAAATCAGGAAAGCAAGCAGCTAAGATTTATGATGAAACATCTATATTTCCCCTTTTTTAGAAGAATGAAAAATATTTTACATAAAAACCAAAATTATATGTATTCTGAGAAAGTAGTATTTATTGTATTAATATACATATAGCAGATAAAAAGGATTCAAATCAGAGCACACAGAAAAACATAAACATAAATGACACGTACATATTTATCAATAAAAAAGCTAATATTTATATTATTTATTAAATTCATTATGGGAAGAATAATATCAGTTACTTGTATAAATGCTATAAGAAAAAGTTTACGACAATTAACATTTAGAATGCATACTACATATCTTTTAAAAAATATTAAATGACTTTACTTTTCAATGAAAAATGCATTGTCTAGCATTATTACCTATACTTCAAATTTTATTTTTTAAGTAAAGGATGCAAATCAAAACATTTTTACAAATTAAAATTTTTGAAATCCCTTCTACTTTTAGAACTCAAAAATAAAACCTCACCACATAGCTGAAATCTATAGTGATGATAATAATAAACTTCTATAATAATAAAGAATGCATTTTCTAACTGATTAGCTAAAACTAGTTATCAATTGCTACTTCCATGGTTGATGGCATTATTTTAGCGATGTGATATAAGGCACAATGATCAATACTTTACCACTTTAAATTAAGCTAAAATTAACACAAGAATGACAGATCTAATCCACTCATAATTATACAAATAATATATAAATTTCTTTACATGTGGACTGAATTGCCTAGACCTAGTTTATCTAAAGGTACATAAATAATCCTTAATTTTTTTACCATTATATGTTACAATTACCTTATGGGAAAATATTACATGTTCTCAAAATTTAAAATGCAATGATAAACATACCTCATATTATATAAATTTTATTGCTCATATACCATGTAAATGACATTTTACACGATGCCGAAAATTTACATGGTATTAGTGAAAATTTGATTATGCAATTACATCTCATTACACAGAGAAACTATACAATTTTTCTTACTGCATAAGGGAAAATAAAAGAACATTTACAACTCAAAATACCACAATATATTGTAAGAAATAATAAATATATATGTAGATATGGTACCTACATAATATCCTATCGACTGTGAAACAGTGAACAAGCTGTACAATTTAGCACCAATTATGGATAAGTAGTGTGACATACCAACATAATCATAACAGCAGCGCTTTTGTTGATGTAAACTTGACTGACCTCAGGTTTTATTTAGGAACAAGATATGCATAACGTATTGCTGTGATTTTGTTTTTCATTTTGGAAACAAATATGATTAAAATTTAGAATGTGCCTTCTGATGAAAAGCAAGCAGTGGATTATTTTAATATGGTAGTTATAAGATAGTACCATAAAAAAGCGTTTAATAGTGGAACTAATATGGTCAACTGATAATGGCCGACAAAACAATAATAGTACATTGGAACAATTACCTGTGGGAAGTTTCTACTCATAGCGATCTAAATACAGCTTCTGGTAAAATCTGAAGGCCTAACAAAACAACAGATATCCATGAAAAAGGTTTTTTGAAGAGCAAAGACAAAACAGATCAAATACTGACTATTTGTTAAATAAAGAGATGTCAATTCCTTCAAAATTCCACACGAAGGACTGGTGCAATATGGACACAATATGGACAATATGGACTGGTGCAATATGGGCATTGGACGATATCTCAGCTATATTTCATGGTTATATTGTAACTAACTTTCACAGTCAACAGGATAATACACAAGTAACATAGAAATATAAGGAAGACCAAACTAGTCATTCATGTTACCAGATATATCACTTAACAAAGTTAACCATATGAAAAAAATTATCATTAAGGATTTTTTGTCATTTTTCCATCTCTCAAAAAAAAAAAAAAATCATCCTGCATTCTTCAATAATTTTCGAGAAATAAAAGTTAATATTTTATTAAACACTCACATTACACTAGAGTTTTTATTAACTTTACCTCTGAAAATTGACAAGGGAAAATTACATCATGTAAAACATGTCAAAGGAGAGGGATGAAGGGAACAAAAAAGCATATATAATTACTGTATTCCATATTTTAAAGAAATCAGCTACAGTTATTGCTTTCAATAGTATTTACTTCCCATTGCTTGCCGCTATACATTAACAACTTATATGTTGTTGTATACACACAGGGACAATGCTAAAGCCAATGCAATTTGTGCAGGCTTCAATGAATGGCAAAACATAGAAGTCACAGATATTGCATCAAACAGCAAAAAGCCTAGTGCTGGCTGTGCTACCATAAATCAGAAGTTTCTAAATCATATATTGAAAATGTTAGGAAACAAATACACAAATGGCAATGTAAGTAAATATGGATTATTTTTCATTAAATTTATTTTTTTTTGTTGCAATAAGATATAAATTACTTACCACTTATTGCAATCTGAAGTCCTTTCATTTATTTAAATAAAAATTACAGCATTACACCTGTATTGAAATGAGATGAAAACAGGATGGATAAAAAATTAATATTTTATTGCTTTAAATGTATCAAAGAGATAAAAACTGGGAATTAAAAATAATCCAGAAATTTGCTTATATTCAGAGCATATTTCAGTTCAAACTCTCACAGGATCCAGAAAAACAGATTAAATGACCCAACATATTTTGGAAACTGATTACCAAGATTTCGCTTATGTGCCTCTAGGTCCAATGATCTTAATTTGATTTAAAAGCCTGTATCACGGCTGCATTTGCCAGCATTGATACAGACATGCTGTACAAAGTTTGGCAAGAACATTTCAGACTTGATGTATGTTGTACAACAAAAGAAGCGCATACAGAACATTTGTGAGTACATTCAAAACTTGCTTATACAGTACAAAGTCCATAGTCCGGATGTCCATTATCCGGACCTCAATGCCACAAACTTTTATTTTTATATGCTTTACACATGCGCGTTTAATGTATAACAGACGGTATAAGCTAGGCTAATCTTTACTGATTCTAAGTTAATGTTGCAGACTGCGCTGTTCCTTAATCTTCTAATCGGATCTGGCTTATTATTTTTTGCAGACTGTTAGAGCAATTTTATAAAAATTAAGCTTGAACTTTCGATTATGTCAAAAACAGTTTCCAATTCTGAAGCTGCAAAAGGATCTACAAAGAATTACAAAATTTTGATTGACAAGTTAGTCGGTATTCTCGACACAGCAATTACAGGACTTTAACAGTGGAACTTTTGAACAAAAAATTATGTCTGTTTATAGAATTAAAGAAAAGTATTAGCACAAAAAAAAAAAAAAAAAAAAAAAAAAAAAAAAAAAACGAAGCAACTTAACAACTTACATTGAAAACATGTTTAATAAAGTAAACAAATAAATATTAAGACTTTTTTTTTTTTTTTGTAAATTTGATACCCTTTAGATCATAATGCTCTTTATTTCTAAAATGGTTTCATATTTTTAATTGTATAATTTCTGCATGCCATCTTACCACATTAAAATTAACTATCTATAATCCGGAAAAACCCCTAATCCGAAATCGCCGAAGTCCCGACGAGTCCGAATTACAGACTTTGTACTGTATTACCTCTGCATGTACATACATTTTGTATATAGTATATGACATGATGCATTTCAAAGAATGGTTCAGAGCTCAACCTATTGCTGTACTCTTTCTACTCATAATAGCTATGTCCGAAATTCCTTTCATAGTCCATTAACTTATATTTTATTTTAGCTTTTCTGACATATAAGAATTTAATTCCTATATTAATTTATATATTAAACTTTTATTACTATTGATTGCTAAAGAAAAATAAAATTTTTATTGTCACAACCTATGTCCTTTTCATAAGCATTTATTTTCAATCCTATGAAAAAATCCATACAAAGGGAAAAGATATGCACAAAATACATGATTACACTCGACAAGACTGAATTTTATATAATTTATAAAGGAAAAACTTACATTACACATGATCCACTGAAAACATAAATAAAAAGTTTAACTTGTTATACTTGAAATTAAGTTAAATGTCTAAATTTTTACAGAATATAGGTGCAATAAACAATACATACAGGAGTTCCTCCTTTTTCGTTTAATTGTACATCATTGAATTCTATACTTTTTACAAGAATCTATCTTTGGAGTAAAAAACTCATCAAAAGTTAATTTGTTCAAATGTTTACAATTTTAATGTGTTATGTGACAAAATAATATCAAAAGTAATTTAATATCTCACAAATCTAGCAATATTACACTGACATATATTAATTTAAAAATCTGATCATATTCTTCTCATTCAAATTAACAGGAATCGATTTTTAGTTTAAAACTATTTTAAAGTTAAAAGTTAAAAACTATTTAAAGTTAAAAATAATAAAGATAAATATATCTAGAAATTCACCATACTATTAAAAACCTCCTTTAGCATAGTTAGAATTTATTGCATCATTCAAAATTTTTATGTGAAATAAAAAATTTCAGATAAATAATGATAGATTTTTAACTGTAAATGGAAAATTTATAGTTAAACATAAGAAATTTTCTTCACGTCTGTCTGCATAGTAGCAACAACTAATCTACTTTTATTCATATAATCATTTTTATGAATATGAATCTAAATATTTGATATAGAATCTAAATCATAATTATACCCTCCAGACATCCTAAAATGTAAGACAATTTAGTATCTATGCACAAGTAATAAAAGGTGCTCCCATAGTGAGAAGACGAATGTATGATTCTGATACTGAAATGGCAGAATCAACATAAGAAAAATTACTTCCTCCATTAGATAGGGATAGAGCTATTGCCCGGGAGGTCTTTGACTAGAAGCTGTTCCTTCAAGGATGGCCTAGTAAACAAGATAGAATTGTTTAAACACTATGTTCTGAAGAAAAATTTAGTAAACATTTAAAAATAAAAGTTAAAAAGTAAGTTTTCAGGCAGCATACTAAAGCGAGTAAAGCTTTTGAAAATGCATTTTAAGGAATAATATATCGTTTTAAAGACGGGCTAATAAAGATAAATCAATGATTCCTAGTCATCTGAAGAAAATGTAAGTACTTTTATTTGTTATTAATTTAAAATTAACTTTTTTAGTTTTTTATATAAAATGTGCAATTAATAAGAGCATTATTTACTGATGTATAATATTTTCATTGTATGTCTGTAATTGCGACGCGTGTTCTCGTGTTAAATAACATACTGTGCGTCCTCCCGGGTTAACTATACAACGCTAAATGTCGACTGTGTCTACCCGTACGACGTCGGACGTTTAGCTGAAACATGGTAAAAATGCTAAAAGTACGACTAGTTGCGCAGAGACACTTTCGTGATTTTTGCGCATTCCGACCAGTCGTAAAGAGATGTTTGTTTACATTTGTGTTGATTATCGGAAGGGTGAATTGCTTTTCCGTGTAGTGCTAGAATGTCAAGAAAAAGTTATTTTTTATTTCATTTGATGACTAATTACTATCATTCTTTGATAGATATCTAAAACATTATATAAAATAAAGAACTTTGAATATATCTGAATATTATTCTTGTTTTAAATTGCTAATGTTTGATCATTTTATACTGATGCGGAGGAGTTTACACAAATAATCAAAATTTCTTGAAATTCTTATCAACAGATTTAAATAAATCATGCATGCAAGCAGTAAAATCACATTCTTACGAAACGAAATTGAAAAATCGTCTTAAAACCTTGTGTAACTTTTTCTGTCATGCGTAGCTAAATATTTCTATAAAATTGCATACAGAAGCATTTATATACATAAAGAGTGTGTTCAGGAGATTAATTCAGAAATGTATGTGCATATGCTTGTATGTACGGATGTAGGTGTTCATGTAGCATATGTATATGTGTGTACATACGTTTGTGTGTGTGTGCACAGATATACATGCATACATACATTTTTGAGTCTGGTCTCGAAAAATGTCTTGCTGAAAAAGAATGTAAACAAACCACCCAGCTCCTTAAAAAAAAAAAAAAGTTTAGAAATTTTTTATCATAATTTTGGTTTCTACAGCAAACTTTTGTGTGTGGGTTTGTTTTAAACTCTTAGAAGAACTCAAATTTTAATATAAAGACGTGAAAATTTTTTACCTTTTGATAGTGTACCTGATGATTTATTAAAAACACAATTGACTCTCTTATATTTAATATTGAAAAGAAGGAGGAGGATATATATATACAAAATTATAATAAAGATAATTCTAAGGTATTTTTTATAAATATATGTGACTGATTACACACTCTGAATATAGAAAATAATCGCTTACAAATGACTTATGCTGTATTTGTTTTATTATCATATCCTGCCTCCATAAGCTCAAAAATAAAACTTTATACAGGAAAGTCATTTTACCTCCAAATATATTTTATGGTATTGAAGTATGATAACAGATGATTATTTTTGTTAGAAAAATTATAATGTTATGAATATTTTCTAAAAAAATTTTCCTGAAGATAATTATACATTATATTCAAGCATATTTATATATTAAATATATATATATTATATTCAAGTAATAGATGACATATTTATATATTCTATTTAAAAATAAATGGCAGCACTATGTCTTATCATTAACTTTATCAAAAGAACTTATAGGTTTAAAGCACCTAATTTCTAGTATAAGAACTGTACTTCAAATGTCCTTTTCTTTTCCTTTTTTTTTTTTTTTTTTTTTTTTCTGTAAGAGTTTTGCTTTATACTATTTACAGATGTGACATCTAAAAATGCTTGGCCTTTTTTATCCAAATATCTAAATATGGAAGTCTGAAATAATGCAATATATTTGTATGTATATAGAGTAAAATATTAGTAAATTCTACATAAGTACATTATTATTCTAAGATAATGTATTTAAAAATATTCAGTTTAATGCAAATATGTGAATCAATTTATACATATAAATTTTAAGTGTATGACTTCTGTTGGATGTTTTAAGTAAACAATCAAAAAAATTAACCTTTTTAGCAACTTATTTGGACATATGTACATTATTACTTTTTTTTTTTTTCCTATAAGAATAAACTTAATCTAATATAATAATCTAAAAATAAATAATACACAACATCTATTAAGGCAGACCATTTTTAGTACAGTAGTAACAATAATACAAGCAATATAATTTAATACTTTCAGTTGTCAGAGAATGAAGTGAGTTTTGTGAAGCTATTTAATGAAAAAATCTGAAAACAATTTTTGATGGTTCTAAAATACAAGTTCTAAAAGAATTAAAATATGTACATGAGATAAATGCCGCTCTTTTTGTTTTAACCCCTTTGAATAAATTTTAACCAATTTGATACTTTTTTTACTTCTTTTCAAAACCTTGAAATACATGAGAAACTGATTTCAGGACCAACACATTTCAAGAAATATTGCTAACTGCAATGAATCAGCACACATGTATGACTTCATCAGAACCATCAGAATGTCTTGTATTACCTTTATTTATTTATTTAAAGTTACTAATGGATTTATATGTAGAAGAGCTGAGATTTCTAATACAGTTACCACACTGGCATTTTTAATGATCTTTTCACTAATGATTTAAAATCTCTCTATATTTTTTATTATTATTCAAATGAAAAGTTTTTGTTCATTTGTTTCCAAAATAACAGCTACTTCCTTAGTTCAATTATTATTTTTTTTAACTGGTTTGTCTGGTGAACTCCTGTGATTTTTTTTTTTTTTTTTTTTTTTTTTTTTTTGTGAATACATTAATTCTGTAATTTGTTGTTTTCAGTTTTTTAATTTCTCTTTTGAAAAGTTTTCTGCATTTTAACTTAATAGCCTTGAAACTTATGATCAACATTCAAAATCTAACTTCCATTTTAAATTTCAATGTTTACCTGGATTCATAACAAGTGTATTATTTTTAAATTATTCAGACAACTTAAGAGCTCTGTGTCTTACATCTTCATAATGGTAGAAAATTTCATTGTACAGCCTATGTACATTTTAGTTTTGTCATGTCATGCCATTTGTGAAATATTCCTTCTTCTCTCTGCTTAATTTTATTCCATATATAGAGATATTCAGTAAGTTTAAGCATAATAAATTTGTAGAAGATAAATGTCTAAAATTCCATTTTCAGTTTCCTATGTAGACTTAAATGCATTTAGTACAGCAATCAATTACGCATTGAGTTCCAATATAAAAATATTTTTTATCACAGCCTTCAGATCATTCCTGAACATCATTCAAATCATCATCAGACTGCAGTATGAAATATACAAATACTTCTTCTGTTTTTGAAGCAAAAAAGAAATCATTTGATGACAAGGTCTAGTGAACATTGTGCATAGGGTATAAGCTGAAATTATTCATTCCTGGAACAGCAATCTGGCAAATTTTAGTCTTGTGTGCTGCAGCGTTTTTATGCATAGCGGAATTTTACTGCTGAGTTTGCTACACAGTTTTATAGTTAATAGGAATTGTATTGGATTATTACGTCAAAAAAATGTGAGAACTATCTGTCTAAGAGAAGATATGCCTTTTCAAAGGAACAATATAAGGAAAACTGGCTCTGATTCACTTTTACATATACATGAGGAAAACAGCAAAATCTCCTCTGGAGCCAGCCTATTCGTCAAGATAAAACTCTGAGCGAATTACTAGCATTCAGCGGATTTACCTCTCGGCCGCTGGTGGGCCTAGTACAAGTTGAGTCAACAGGTTAGCGTAATAAACACCTTTTATCATGATATTATGTGACCTATAATCTATAAGCAATGCTCTTCATAAAAAATGTTAATTCTGTTTGCTTTCTGGATTCTGAACTTAGCTCTTGTTTATCTATTCTCTTGTTTTGAGATCTGCTCATCAAAACAGAGCAGCAGGTCAATTAAAGAAGGATATGCATGCAGTGCAATCATCTTCAGTACGATCTCAAGTCATAGTCACGTCTTTAATCCACCTAAAATCCAGTCCCAGTACTTTTCACTCTTTGAGCAAAAGTATAATTCCTGTTGGAGTCTAAATTAAGATGAGCTCCGGTATTTCAATTTTCTACTGAACTATTTTCATTAATTAAATTGAATTATCTAATTTTATTTATTAATTTACATTTATTTTTATTTTATTTTTTATTTATTTTTTTTCTTTATTTTTATCTTTGTTGACGACCTTTCATAGTCCTTCTTCTTTTAGAAATTAAGTACTGACCACAATGCATTGAGGCATAAAATTGAACAGGCACTCGTATAATCCTATGGCAAACATTCCACACTTGCTAGATAATGTGTTTCACATTGAGGACATCGAAGCACTGAGCCTACGCAGGCCAGATAGAGCTTAAGTCACATTATTTTGATCACTGCAAAGCACGCAAGGGCTTTCTGCCTAAGAACAGGGATGCTTTTGTGGAGCACTTTTTAAAGGTTCGATTTGGTTTGTTTGATTTTAGAAAAGCACTTGAGGGCTATTTGTCTAAGAAGAGCAAAGATTCTTGATGGCTTCATGATGGACTTTTCGAAGAAAACTAGCTGGCATTCACATTTCGCAAGAGAAAACATCAAAAACTCCCATGCGACCAGTCCGTTCGCTGGAATTTCAAACCAGTCGAACTAACAGTATTCACCAAATTTACTGGTAGGTTTATGCTCAACAAGGGACATATTTTTGGAGCAGGTAGGTTGTGTAAGTGTCAGTAAATGACATAGCCAGTCTTGGGCAATAAGCTATGAGTGGCGTTCTTTATCCTACTGAAATATCGTGCTTGGATTCTTTGTCAGGTATTGGTGTATATTGGTTGAGACAGATAGATTTTCGCATGTTATGTCTCATGTGCAAGCAGTAATTAGAATGGTGCAAAGCATAGTATAACATCGTCAACGTATTAGACAGTGAGAAATGTGACAACACTGACTAAGAAAGGAATGCAAAGGATACAAAAGCAGATTCGAAATACATCTGTATTCTACTCAAATCAGAAGGTGAATGCCCATATGATAAGGGTAACACAAACGCAATTATCACTAGGGGATATAATCCTACTTAATTGTGATGCAGTCTCTCTACTGTATATTCATGCTCTGTACGAGATCGTCCACGAATTTCTGAGAAATTATGTTCAATTCTTCTTGCAGGGCTGATTACAGCTATGAAAGCATTGAAAGGCACTAGCGACGGGCTATCAAAAGTCCCCAGACCATACACCATATATTAAGTTGGAGCATACGACAACCTTCAGAATGCCTACGCTAAGACAGGTGCTATATCTTCACTCCTTAACAAGCTAGCGACAGTTGGTATACCCCTACCATGAAGTGTAGCACTATTGTTCGCGAAGAATCTTGGAAAAGATGCACATGAGGAGAAGAACATTAGCACAACTGCAGTCAGTAGTGAATTAATCTTCTTCAGATAAATGGAGCTTCATATAGCGACCAAGCATTTCACTTCCACAAACGAAAATTTGAGCACTTGCAAACTGTTTCCTTTCGATGATCTTAGAGGGACGACTGCGTAATCTCTGCTTTATCTAGATATTTAGACTTCCAGAATGGCTAGATAATCTAAATATCGGAAGATTAAAGCTGTTATCTTATTCTTGAACCTGGATGATAACCCCTCATATAATATTGCAGCGGCTGCTCTATTGTCCTAGAAAACTGGATGACACCCCCTTTCCCTGTTTAGTCTTGCCAGCGACTGCTGCTATCCTTAAAGCTCAACTCCATTGCTGAGCTACTCAGTGGCGTAAAGGGGGTGTATGATGCGCCGGTCGCAGAGGGGCGCCAAATGGTCTCCAAACAAGATTTTCATCATATCACTGTGTTTTTTTCGGGAAGGGGGCGCCAAAAAGGTATTTTGCCCCGGGCGCCAGTTATGCTCGCCACTCCACTGGAGCTACTCAGATCTTTTGTTTGCAACACTACAGAAGACACTGCCTCCGACGAGAAGGCATGAAAGTCCGCAAAGCGATCAAAACACCATCAGATTGTTTCGTAGTGATATCAGTGTTATAGCTAGAGACGGGCGAGGGTGGACAACTGTCCCTGGGCGTAGTGTCACGGAAATGCCAAACTGACGAAGTTTTAGAATGAAACAGTTTCCATACTTAGAAAACAGAAGGGTGTACGAAATCTGCAGTTGTCTTTAGGCGCTGAAAAACTATAGCCAAGTCTTTAGTCATATTGGATGTCCAGTAATAGATTGCATGCATCTTAGGATGTCACCCACTGTCACCACCACCAGATGATGGGAGTCATTAGCATAGATATCGCATCATCTAAAGACGGCTCTCCAGTGGCCGAGCGGTAAAGCCGATAAACTCGGGCCGGGGCTCGAATCCCGGCGAGCAGATTGGCTGCTAACTAAAGCGTTTTCATGGTTTCCATATGTGTAACCTATATACAGTCCAATTTCCCTTAGAAAGTCTTTCACGAAGCCATCCCTTCCCTTAGACAGGTAGCCCTCGAATGTTTCGCCATAACTAAATAAACTGAACCCAACTCATCATCTGTAAGAGAAGATATCAGTTCTTCATATCCTGGCGTGGTTGTTTGTGGAAAACCACTACCAGAGTTGGATTAGCCATTAAGGAAAGTAAGCACGTGCTTAGGGCATCAGGTAAAGGCGGCGTTACAAAAAGGTGCTTAAAGATTCAAAGAAAGAGTGCAAAGGCTCCACAAAAATAAAATTCTCACTGCAGATTTTAGAAGGGAATACCATAGTGCAGTTAATCCAAGCCCGAGAAAGAGGGAATGATGAGAAAGAGGCGTTATACTATAGAGATGTATGTGGAGGCAGCAAAATCTTTGAAGTGCTACGGGCATATAAAAGTCTAATTTGGCAATGAGCATTACTAAACCTTCAGATAGCTGCTCCCTTTGTTCGAAATGTAATCCAAACTACTGACATGATGTGTATAGTCGCACTTTGGCCTTCTTTCAAACTTCCAGACAAAGTCGTCCAGATATTGTCTATAGAACTGTCACGCTGAGACTACAAATCGATGTTGTTAAAACCAAATGTACCGTGCAGTAGCTTCCGTTCATGTTTTGAGCATACACCATGCTTTATACCCTCTCCTACACCCCATAGATGTCATGCTACGTATATGTGCATGCTGTACAATACCGGACCCTAAGTGATCTCCTAATTGATCTTTTTGTTGCATCTTCTTGTTTGTACTAACGTTACATTAATTTCTCCATTTCATTCTTAATTTTTATTATTTATATAATTGCAGAACTGATCAGCTATCGTGGATGACTTCTTAAATCGCAATATTTTACAGGAGCGGAAGCACGCTGTCCACTAGGAAGGTTGGGATTTATGCTACTGACCGGGAAATTCGCTTAGCTACATATAGGAACTGTGTGCAGCCAAAATAAAATAAGATACTAAGTCACTAATTTTCTCTTTCCTTACCGCTTGGCTTCGTGTTCTAATTAGAAGCACGTTCGGCTGGCAATAGGGAAGTCCAGAATGCAAATCCTGGGGCGGTCATTCGCTGATATTTTCTATTTCAAATAAATACCTAAAGGCTCAACCAACTAACCAAGTGGTTCCCAAACTAAAATGTGGTAGACGATAATTCTTCACCACCAGCAGGTGGCGATTAGGTTACCACCTCCCCAACTGCCTTTTAAATGGGGAAGAATGTACGGAATTTTCTTTTTTCTCAACGCATGCTTTCATGATGTAATTAGAAGCACTTCTGGATGGCAGTCTTTAAGCCCAGATTTCGAATCCAGGATAGGGTCTAATTTTTTTTTTTTTTTGGCTCCTAAATAAACCTAATATTATACATCACCATTCTATGGTGCTCTACACTCATCTACAGTAGCACAATCGCAAATAGAGCTACCAGTGCTTTAATATCGAGATTAGTGTACATAGTGACTCTGAAATTGCAGTTTCGATGGTAATGGTTCAGAGGCACATGTTCTACTGTAGTGTGGATTAGGTTAACATGTCTTTCTGGAGCTGTTTCCAAAGCAGAAGGGTGCTGATCATTCTACAGATTTAAGGCGAATGATAAGGCCTTTACCGAAGCTTATAAGTTGGGTAAATCAATGTCTACATGATATTTTTTCTGATTACATACTTTTTGTTTTGTGTCATATGGGGACAAACTGTATACTAGTTTTTATGCCTGCTTTGAATCAGACACTAATTTTTGTTTGCAGCACCACTATAGGGTTTGCAGTCATACCCTGCTACACGACACTTGAACCATTAGCATCTATGTTCACATATTGCTCAATTGATTTATTAGTTATAGTTTATGTGCATACATTTCTTTGTCATATGTGTATGTATTTTAATATGAATCTTTTGTAAAAAATAAATTAGACTTGCATATATGCATAGGCAAGCTAGTTTGCTATACGAAAAGAAAATAAAATTAAAAACCCTGTTCCTTAGACCATATCAACTGGCTGTTTACCCAAGTCACATATATTGCTATAGCACCAGATGTGAAATTTAAATCGACCACTTCATTTGAAAGTTATAAAATGGACATTTGTATACTATGTTATCTTTTAGTACATGCTCAGCTGTTGAATTTTTATGGCAAAGGTCCTGAGGGCTATCTGCTTAAAAGAAGAGATGCCCTTCTTTGAGCACTTTTTGAATGAAACTGACTTGTATTCGTATTAAACATAGGGAAAACTGTAAAAACAGAGATGTAGCTAACCCATTTGATAGAATTCAAACCTAAATTGTATCACCAGTATTCTGTGGTCTTATCTATTCGAGAACCGAAACCGGTGGAATTCTTCTAAAGCAAGATTTTGGTTTATGTTTGCATATAGATATTACTTATGCAGTAGATCATTATCAGACATATAAAAATAGTGATATCAGTGAATGAAATTAAAAAAATAATAATTCCATTTTGCTACAAACTTCATACACAGAAAACAAGAGAAATAATGCTTTGAATTTTGCTCATCAGAAGAAGCATTAAATAATACAGCACTTTTGATGAGCACAGTTAATTGGTGTGTATATGTATTTTAATCAGTGAGCTGTTCTAAAAGATTTTTCATGGAATTGTCAGACTTTCTTAATTTCTCAACCAGACTAGCAGCATTGTTCATCTGACATGAGACAAACTTAAATTAAGATATACATAATTTTTAAAACAGGGCACATAAATTTCTATATAATGGCTAACATAAATTATATTTTATGTTAGCCATTATATAGAAAACTGGCTAAATAAACAGAAAATCTAAAAAAATACAGCCTCCTATTCCACAAACAAAAAAAAGGACAAATAATCTTAAAATGAACTCAATGATTGCAGACTATAGTAATAACAATTTATTCAAAATGAATGTAGATGCAATATTTTACTTTTAAATATGTCAAGAAACTTGTAGTGATCATCCAGCTAATTCAGTTTGCTTTTAAAAAAGTGTGCATTGAAAAAAAAAAAAAAAAAAAAAAAAAAAAAAAAACAAGAATTTAAAGAAAAAAGAACAAGAGCTTTTCATTATTAAAAACTGTTATGACCTAGAAGAAATCTAATCATATCCTTTCCCATTACCATCCATGCACACCAATCACATAATCATCCAGCTAGTTGGAGAAAAATGGTTTTAGGTAATGAATGTATTTTGCTTTTTTAATTCCCCTGATATGAAACTCAGCCAGATCATAGAAGCAACTGAGAAGCAACTGTCATTGGCGAAGGGCTTGGGCATATTGTAGATGACAGTAGGAATCTGCCCAGAAGCTGGCCCATAGTTATCCCTATGGGACGGACGGATAGAGGACTAATGTCAATTTCAAAAATATGTCTTTGCAATAATATTTTATTAAATTAATTATGTGAGGTTTGTTTGGTGCATTATGAAAAATGAGCACTATTTATGAACAACTTAAGATACTTAACAGTAAATTATCATCACACATACATCACAAAAAAGAAATGTATCTCTTTGAGTGTGCATATAGTGAGCTTGGATATATATATATATATAAAAAGTATATTTTATTTAGTATTATAATATATTATTCTTTTTCATATTTTTATGTTAAATGATAATTCTTAAATAGATAAGAATGAATGAATTTATAAAAACAATCATCTCAACCTTTATAATAAATGACACCTAAAGGTTTTCTCAAAATTTAATACAGTTATTCCCATACATGTTGATTTGGCATCCATAGTTGTTATGGCCAAACTATTATAATGCAAATAACAGAAGAAAAAAAAAAAAAAAAATACAAAATGCATTTTAAATGAGAACAGGCCACATCATGCCAAAATAATTTGTACTAAAATTCCAATCATAAGCAAAAATATACAAGTATATAAAAATAAAAAATAAAAAAAATATTGTTCTGACATCAAATACAATACTGCTTACTTTGCTTATAGTACTTAACATTTTATTCAGGGTTAAATTAAAACATCAAAATTCTCAACATTAGAGATACAGAAAATATATTAAAAAATGTATATGATATAGTATACAATCTCAGCATGCACAATTTATCAATTAAATTTGACTTCCTTTATACGTATTTTTCAAATCATGAGAAACAGTTTTTGACTGATTTTTGTGATGAAACACTAGAAGATATTTTCCAAGAAGGGATGCTTTAAGGCAAACTGGCTTGCATTCATATTACACGTGGAAAAATCATGACGACGCTTATGCAGGCAGTCCATTCACCAGGATTCAAGCTATTAGTGTTCAGCTTCTCACCAGCTTGTCCACTGGCACACAACAGCCTCTTGTAATACATTATCTGCAGACATGAAATCCTTCTGTATTTATATGAAAAGAAAAAGTTATACATTCAATATTAATTACAAAACCCATTTTCATACATGCCTACTGACAAATTATAAGTAATCCTCAACTCATGATGAGTATTGTTCCAATAGTTCCATCATAAGTTCATACTGATGTAACTCAGGGTCTTAATAAAATTATACCTTGGTATGTTTGATTATATTGTTATGAATAAGGCTTCTGTTTCACATGAAAATGGTTTAAGGAGGTATAAACTTATGTGACATTTATAAACAATTTATTTGCATACATTCACATGAATTTTATAAAATTAATACATATACATCCCTTTCATTAGTTGATAAGAACAAAAATATATACAAAATTCTTTTAATTAAAATAATGGATAAGTAACTGTTACTTATTTAAAAGAATTATTGTAACATACAACTCAGAGAAAAGTTATTACTCAACTATGATCAGAATCCTACAAAAACAATGGATGCACGCACAAATTATTTATATTTTTCTGTAAAATAAACATTTATATTTTTCTGTAAAATAAACTTTTTATCTGGATAATTGAATACTTTTAGTTCAAGATGCTTTTCGAGTTCGGACTACCTAATATACACTAATGTTTGTGAAAATCACAACCATGAAGGAATTATGCACTTTGAACCAAACTTACATGAAATGTAAAGTGAGTTAAGACATACAAATGATTAGAATTACAAAGGGATTATGCATGCATGAAATGAGAACTGGCAGTTGTAAAGGACTGTAAAGTTGTGCTGAAATCTGTTTATCATCCTCCGTCTGCAGTGAACATTTAATTTGTGCTCAGTATGCCTCGTCAACAGCGGAGGATGCCATACCAACAAGTTTGAACGAGGCCACATCGTCTGTATGCAAGAGGGTGGACTTTCATATCAAACAATCACAGCCCGCACGCAGCACAATGCCACAACAGTGATGCATGTTTGGAAGAAATGGACAGCGAGAACCAAACAAGGTGAAATCCTGGCAATGGGGCACACAACAGCACAGGACGACAAACACCTCATCTGCATGGCTGTGATGGATTGTAGAGCATCCTCTCGTATGTTAGTACAATATTGGAGCACGGTTACAAGTGTTCGTCGCTGTCTGCTGCAACATGAACTGCATGCAAGGGTTCCTCTACGCAGGATTGCCCTGTCGCTGAGTAACATATGCCTCCGACTTCAGTGAGCACTGCAACTCAGTGCGTGGCGTGCTCTGTGGCAACAAGTTGCTTTCTCCAACAAATCTTGCTACAATCTGGAGTATAATGATGACAGAGTATGCATTATTCGATGCATTCCAGGCACTATATTTTAGGGGGGAAAAAATGCCTGTGCACAAGCCTTCTTTAAGGTACAACAGGTTTTGCATCTTCCCCAGATATGTTGCTCAATCAGCATGCCTAGGATTTCATCGGTCAGCGACTCGCACGTACAGCTAGTGGGGCACACACTGAAACTGAACTTTCACATCAAGTCAAAGCCATTCCCCAGGATTACATTCAGAACCTATACGATTCAATGCCACGATGTGTACAGGCTCTCGCTCGGCATGACAGAAACCCAAAGTACTGATTTTCCAACTTTCGTTTGTAAATGTGATCGTTTACTTGTATCACTATCGGTAATATGCGGAATAAATTTCATTCATTTCCGACAATTCCTTCATGGTGTTGCATTTTTCACAAACATTAGTGTGTCTACAGCTTCCAGTGCCTGTTCAGCATCCTCTCGTATGTTACTGAAGATAAATGACTAACTGAAGACAATTTTTAATCTCTATTGAAATGCCCGTAATGATTCATTGCTAAGCACAGAATCTTAAATAACACTTGTCACTCCTAGCAATGCCTCATTCTGCCTCTAGTCCATCATCAGAAAACTCCATCAACCTGCTGTGGAGGAAGCTCCACGTTTATAAAATCATTGCCATCATCTTCAAAGGCAGAATTACAGAGGTTCTGGGAATCCCATATTATCTTTAAATTCTTTCAAAGCTTTTCTCAAGCCTTTTCTTGTACAATGCAATCATAAAATGCTTGTTGAAATTCTACTCAGTATCAACTGTAATCTCCAAATGCGGCTTTATGAATTTGTGTCCATCATCTATACAAATTACACTGACCAAAAAAAAAAAAAAAAAAAAAAAAGCATTATCTAATTTTTAAAATTACATTATCTTTCGGCTATGCCGAACTGGATGACGAAAGGGGCAATTCTCAGAACCCGCACATTTCCAGGAAACCCATGTAGCTAGGTTACCATTTTCACTTACTACAAAGACAACGCCAAACAATAATCGATTATCGCTCAGATTGGGACCACGTGATCCTTCAGAAGCAGAACTTTCATCTGATTGGTTCATTTCTACCCGGGACAGAGTTTCAGCTGAGACATTTTTGGCGAGGTTTGAAGAAATATCACATAGCCGCTACATTGTTTCTGTAGCTAGGTGGGATTTTTTTTTCTAAGAATCCTCCCATTTAAACTAGTGCTACCAAAAATCTTGCTTCTCAGGAAAGTCCCGTCTAGCAGGGACTGTTGCTAGAAGTAAATAACCGCTTTAATCAACACTCACTAATAATATAGTAAAATCACAATGACCAAAATTAGCCTCAATCCACTATGTCTAATCCGTTTTCAAAACACATGTTTCGCTTTTGTGATAAGAGGAGAGTGGAATGTGGAAATGAACATGAGCTCAGCATAAGAGCGTATAGGTAGTGATCACTTTAGGTTTTCTACAAATGACATTCAGTGGATGAGTTGAATGTTGCCTTTTTTTCCCCTCCGAGATAGCTAGATGGTGTTACTAGGTGGCTTAAAGTACAGTCAAAAGTCTTTAATCCGGAATGATCTATAATCCGGACCTCAAAGCTACAAACTTTCTGCACATGCTTAAACGCATGCGCATATGCGTTTAATGTATAATGGACGGTATAAGCTAAGCTAAAATTATCTATTTCAGTTAATGTTGCAGATCGCGTTGTTCCTTAATCTTCTAATTGGATCCGGCTTATTATTTTTTGCAGACTGTTAGAGCAATTTTATAAAAAGTAAGCTTGAACTTTCGATTATGTCAAAAAGAGTTTCCGATTCTGGAGATATCAAAGGATTTACAAGCGAAAGCATGTTTTGATGTCCATCAAACAAAAAGTGGAATTGCTGCAAAAAATGGTTAAAGGCATGAAGAAAGTGACAGAGAGGTGATTTGTTTCTCTAACCATTCCGAAATCTGTTTATCAATTTCGCGCTGCTCTGCGGGAGAGGGGGGGGGGTGGGGGGGTACATGCAGCGCACAATGAACTGGAAGTTGATCTGTCAGCACTATCCTCATCTTCAGGGCAGATGTTTTTATTTTATTCGGCTTATAATTCCTCACTAAATGCAGTATTTCATCTCGATGTACTCCGTCTTTGATATGATTTAAATCAAATTCATCATTATAAATATCACGAATACACATGAAATAGTTTTCTGGTTGCAATTTTCTAATTTCAACTATGCGTAATGTATGCTTTACACATGCGCACGTTGAAAGAAAAGTTTAATAAAGTAAACAAATAAATATTAAACTTTTTTTTGTAAATTTTGATACCCTTTAGATCATAATTGCTCTTTATTTCATATTTTTAATTTTATAATTTCTGCATGCCATCTTAAAAGATTTAAACTGATGAGCTATAATACAAAAAAAACCGATAATCCGAAATCGCCGAAGAGTCCAAATTAAAGACTTTTGACTGTTTATGATAACCAAATGAGCACCACAGCATTTAATGGGTTAATATATGACATAATTACACAGATTGGAATTTGCTAGCAAGTTTGCCCTTGAAACAGAAAAGAAAATTAAAAATCCTGCTCCAGAGGACATTCCAGCTGGCAACTTTATGAAATTTATATACTACTGTTACGAAATAATTTGATCCAGTTTTGTGAAATTAACAAAATATATGGCATTAATGAACTATACAATCATCTGATGCATATTTTAACTTTGAATGTCAAAACAGAATAGGGATTTTTTTTTTTTTGGCACTGTGGCTGATTCTTACCTTTAGTCATAAAGATGATTATTATGATGCATGTTGCTTTATCGAAGACCTGCCAATGATGGATTACTATATTCCCCCCCCACTTTACAGTGCTGAAATTTATTAAAAATATTTCCCTCATTTTCCTATAGTTTAAAATGTATTTGTTGATGTGGTAATCATTGTCTTACTTACAAAGACAAAATCCCATAAATACATACAAAGGTTACATTGAACCTTTCTTCTTGTAATTTTTTACCTTAATGCCAACTTAACACAAGAACTGTTGAAACACAGTGAAGCAAACACAAACTGACATTCATTCTATGATTTCAGCTGCATACTCAACTTCTCGCCTACGACTCTGCAGTTGTGCAATTCTAAGATGTTTCTTCAAGTAAAAAATTGGTCGATGTGTACATGGATACCGAGGATGTGTAATTCTTAAAAATGCGCCAAGCAGTGGGTGATTCTTCATTGTTTTTCTTGAAGTCCTGTTTTAGATATTTTTTGCATGTTTACAGAATTAATTCAAATTTGTAACCGGCGATATGATGAGTTAGCGATTTTCTAAAACACACGAAAACAATCGATTTGGCAATTTTTTTAAAACTCACCAATCTGGACCGTAATATCTAGTTTTACCATATTGCTGTTGTGAAAAGACATGTTTGAAGATGAGTACAAGTTTAACAATTTAAAAATACTGTAATCCTAAAAACAAATCATATGGACCATGGCAGACAAAAAAATAAGAAAGGCACTGCAAAAGCATATGGTTAGACATGGCCAGAATCTCATAAAAAATAGCACACATTAGCTTCCTGGCAAAACATACTTTGGCTCAACTTCGATGTTAATGTTTCTGGTTAAGTAGAAGCAACATTAAAACTGGTTTGCAGTAAATGCTGCCAAATGAACACATAACTGAAATATTTGCTGATATTAAGAAAAATATTAATTTGTTCAGCTAGACATTTAGCACCAATGCTCATCCAATAACAACAACAAAATTATAAATTTGTTCACAGAATGTAATAAGAAATTTGTGTAAATAAGTACATAAGCAACAACAACAACAAAAAAAAAAAAAAAAAGGCACATCAATATCACTGCCACACCATACAATTACGTTTGAATAAGAAAATAGAGTTATGCGCACAGCATTGAAAGAATACCTTTGAAGTACACCATATTCATTTCTTACCCTGAATCGAGCAGAACCATGTAATTATTTAATCTGCAACTACATTCTGAAATTTAATAATACACACAAATTATATACATTTAATACACATTTTGTACCGAAATTAAATAATTACAAATATAGTTTTTACTAACCTATACATGCAGAAATTCAGCGAAAAAAAGATCGCCAGATCGCATTCACCAGTTTGCTTTAAAAAAATGAATTAACATAAATAATTACAATTGAAAACCTATTCATTTAAGCAAATAATGGATTATAAATTTTAATTTTACCTTACAATCAAGAATGAGAATAGCCGCATCACACCCACACCACGCTGCATACAGGCAAGAGAACATTTAACTGGGCTTAATAACAACTACATCACAGCAAAAGCTACTGCTTCTTGCTGCAATTTTTAATTTCGCTACAAATAACAGAATAATACTAGAATTGCTTACAATAAATGTACATAGAATGTTAGGCTTTTGGTATTAATATTACACGCTCTAGCTCGGCTGAAGTTAATATGTTAATGTTTCTGGCTAAGCATGTTCAACTAGATGCATTATTAAAGCTGATTTCCAATAACGTCTGGAAAGTTGAGCGCAGATAACCAAAATATTTGCTCAGCCAGATATTTAACATTACTATTAATACGATATCAAAGAGAACATGAAAAAAATGAGTATATTTGTTCAAAAGAACACAGAAATACAAGAATATATTACATTTCGCAGTATTTAATAAGAAAAATGGGTGAATAAGTACATAAACGACACGAATTTTTTTTCTTCCTTTTAACTGCACACACAAACCAATAAACTATATACAATTCATAAATAATTTTGTATTCAAAGTTAATTAAATATTTACAAAATCAAAAATAATTCTTACCTATACATTCAGCAGAAAACGAATTATGCCTATAATTGCGGTCTGTGCAAGAAAAAAAATAATATTGATTAAAATTAATCAAAAAGACAATTAAATTAAAAAAAGACTATTCATTTAAGTGGAAAAAGCATTAGAATTTTAATTTATTTGAATTTCAACTTAAAATTTGGAACAATAGATATCACTCGTATACTCACCACTACACATCCACCACGTTCGAGAACAAAATGGCGCTCGATT